AATCTTTGCTCTTGCTCTAACTATTTCGACAGAGTAGCGCCGTGCAGGGACGTTGCGTACGATATCAGTGACAATCATCAAGTCAGCAAGATCAGTCGAATATCACAGTTCGGTCCGCATTCGTTGCGATGATGGTAGTTCTTGCACCAACTTCTTCTCAGGAGGAGGAGGAGGAGGAGGAGGAACCTTTGATCGTCGTGAGGGTCTCCGGGTCGCATACAAAGACTCCTCCCTCCTCGTTCTTTCTGATCTGATTTCCCTTGATCAACACGAACCCTCCGCTCTGGATCCCGACGCCCTTGGATCCGTTGCTCGAGATCTCGTTCTGCTGCAAGAGACTCCTGGAGCTCTTGCCGCTCACAAACACTCCCTCCTGCCTGTTGCCCGACATCGTGCACTCAACCGCCTCCACGCACGCTCCTCCTTGCACCCCAACACCTCTCACTCCGTTGTCCAAGAACTCTGTCTTCCACGCCGACGCGTACGCGCCATGGCCGTCAGCGTACAGCCCGGCATGTCGGTTCCTTGCTACACGATTCTTCTCAAGGTTCACCTGGGCCCCGTCCTGAACCGCTACTCCCATCTCTCCGTTGTCGCTGATTTCGCTCTCAGTCAGGATGCACTCAGCCCCGGTCCTGTGCGCGAGCACCCCGACAGCTCCGTTGTTGCACACCTGGCTCTTGCTCACTACTCCCTTCCCTCCGCTCTGGCACACGACCCCGTACATCCTATTCCTGTTCACCTCGCAGCTCTCGCACCGAGCGTTCCCGTTGTCAGTGGCGAGGATAGCGCACTTGCCGCTCCCGCACAGGTTGCATCCTTCCGCCACCAGCACGCCGTTCTCCGCTACCATCACCGCGATCCCCCGATCACTCCACACGCTGCAGTTGTGCAGGTTCAAGGAGCCGCGGAAGCACTCGACGGCCCTCACAGTCTCCTTTCCCCTCCTCGTCGAGTCTCCTCCAGTCTGATTCATGGCCATCCCCGATATGCTCACGTTGTCGGCAAAGCACTTGAGCAGCGGGCGGCCATGGCTGCCCTGCAGTACGACTCGGTCGTTGCCATCGCAGACGATGGAGACAGGACGATCGAGAACGATCTCTTCCTCGTACAAGCCTCCGTCTACCACGATCGTGCTCCCCGCCGCTGCTCTGCTGACGGCAGAGGTGATGCTCGTGAAGCTGCCCATCCCTGCCCGCTGCGGAGAGTCGATGAGCGGAGGAGGCGCGGAGAAGAGGCGTACCTTGCTCACTCGAAGAGGACCGTTGTCCTGCGGCACAGGGTCCAGCGACTGCATCTTGGGAGGAGGACGAGGCGTCATCAGGTGCTGCTGGGGCTGCGGCTGGGGTTGAAGTTGAGGCTGAGGCAGCGGCTGCGAGTGATGTAGCGGCTGCATCTGCCAGAGTGTAGGGAAGTTGTTGGGGAAGAAAGGAAGAAGGAAGAAGGAAGAGGACAAGGAAGAGAGGAAGAGAAGTGAAGGGAGGCAGGAGGGAGGTAGGGAAGTAGGAGAGAGGAGGACGCTCTTGTTAGCATGTAGTCATGGAGAAAAGTTCCAAGTACCCTGGGGGTCTCTGGTTTCCTCGGGGAGAAGAGAATTTCGCCGAGTGACTGGAGGGTATCGAGGGGGGAAGAAGTCCAGGAGGAGGAGGAGGAGAGACGATCTGTGGTCTTCCTCGGTGTTTTCCTTGGAGTGCTGGCTGTTCCTCCTTGGTAGGGCAGGTGGCGGAGAACGTTCACCTCGAAAGTCTTGTGTCCTCTCCCCAGCTGAAGGTTCACCACAGTCCCTGCACGCATCTCAGCACCCTTGTGGAAGAGAAAGGGAAGGGGAAGGGGAAGGGGAAAGGAGGAACGAGAGATAGAGGGAGGGAGGGACAGGGGGAAAGGTAACGAGGAGGGAAAGAGGAAGAAGAGGGATGAAGGGAAGGTTAACGGCTAGTCAAACTTCACCTGATGGCCCACGTAGAAGCTCGTGCACGACTTGGATGGGGAGCATTTCTGCTGCGACGTTGTTGACTGCCAGCAGCCTGTCCCCAGGAAGGATGTCGATGTTCTGATAACCTGCCTGCCCCTGCAGCGTCCCCTCCACGTCACTCACGTCCAGCACTTCCAGCACCGTGTGAGGGACGTCCCTGGTGACCACCAGCCCGACAGATCCAGGAGCCCTTGCTTCTCTTGGGGTGGGAGCAGGTGCAGGAGCAGGAGCGCCAGGTTGTGCCCTCTCCTGCGCGGCAGGATGAGGGACGCTGCGAGCACTTAGAGGTCCCTGGTCTTCCCTCCAAGGCTCCGTCGACCTGTTGGGAGAGGAGACGAGCGGCTTCAACGCGAAACCTGCTTGAGACAGACGAGACAGACCCTCCTGTCTCGGCATTACGTTGCTCTGCCCCGACTCCTGCCTAGGGGCGCTCGCTGCCTCGGGGGCTCGGAGCGACACGGCCTCCCTCCTCGGGGACATGAAGGCTTGCTGGATGTCAGGGTTCTGCCGCTGATTGTCCGCAATGCTGTGAGTGATCGAGCTCGGGTTGATCTGCGCAGCCTCGATGGGAGAAGCGCCTCTGACGATGTCCTGCAGCATCTCGATGGCCGAGCGGTAGCGCGCGTTGGGCTGCTTCTCAAGAGCTCGCTGGATCACGTCTTCAGCGAAGGAGGAGACCTCCGGGTTGATGTCTCGGACCCGCGGCACCTGGGCCGTCAGGATGGCCTCACGGAGGTCCCGATGGGGGGAGCGGAGGAAGGGGAATCGACCAGTGAACATGCGAAACATCATGACACCAACAGCCCACACGTCCGTCCGAGCGTCAACCGCTTCTGCTCGAACTTGCTCGGGCGACATGTAGGGCAGGACGTCTGTGAAGGACTGGTGCAGGCTCTTGGACAGCCCGATGCACAGGATCTTGACCTTGCCATCGCTCACGAAGGTGGAGCCGGTGCAGACGTCGCCATGCACCAGGTCGTTCTTGCTGTGGACCGCGTCGAGGATGAGCAGGAGGTCAGACACAGCCTTGAGGACGAAGCTCTCAGGAACGTATTCTCCTCTTGCCTGAGCGGCAAGCAACACGTCCTCCAGGGGCTCTCCCGCGATGTCCTACAACCAAAAGAACCACCTCAGAGGCAACGACGAGGGTGGACAACAAGGCAAGGATGACCTCTGCGACGAGGTAGCTCTTGTCATCCCATTCTCCAAACCCCAAGACTCTCGTCCATCCCTCGTGAGCAACTGCAGAAGCAGCTTGCGCTTCCTGTCTCCTGAGCCTCTGCATTCGCATGTATCAATACTTGCCGCCTCAGGTTGCGCATCACCTGAACATCTGCGCTCGTCAGCAGGGGTTGTTGCACTATCGTGACTCTGGCATTGTGAGAAAGATCTCTTCCTGTCCATATCGTCGTAGTCCCCGTCCGAGAGATACAGCCTGCCTCCAGAGGTCAGACTGATATCTCCGTTACTCTTGTCACCCACCTATGATCTCGAACCGGCCATCGATCCTCGTCCCAACCCTCCACCGAAGGCTCTCAGGCTCATCCATCGCTGATGTTTCTGCAGGTGAGTCAGGTGAAAGAAGTCTTTCCTTTCCCTCCTCCCGCCTCCTCTTGTACCTTACAGCTGTCACTGAGGATGCCCGTCTTGTCCTAGCAGTCAAGTTCTTGTTTCATGCTCGAGCTGCTGCCTGCAAGACCGATGAGTACTAAATTCATTTGACAGTGACAAGAAAACAAAGTATGAACGAACAGGAGAGGCTGACTGGAAGCCTGAGAGTTACAAGGTGCGAGGAATTTGAGTAAATCGGTCATTACGCAGATGTGATGAGAAACTCGTGGGAAGGAGGTGTGCAAGATTACAACAAACTTCACTCATGCTACATGTTCGAGAGAAGCACGTCTCATCATAACATCACAAAGTCAAGACCATGATAGATCATAAGGTGCTTCCCATATCCTTGGTTCCAAAATTGCTCTCCCTCTGCCGGTATCAAACTGCCACATGCTGTCCAGCAGCGCTCATTTTCCTGCTCTGTCTCTCTGTCATCGGCTATGCATTTCTCGCTCTCATCTCATCTCGTGCGGTGTTTCCCTCTACCTTCCCTTCCCCGCCATTCCTCGCTTCCTCGCCATCTGTCCCATAAAAATTCCAGTCGTCATGATACACAAAAGGCCGTTCAAAGGGAGTAATGATTTCGAGTCCGCCTCATAGATTAATTACCCCTTTCACTGCAAGTCAGTACGGATCTCCCTCGCCCTCCGATGTCAAACTACCCCCGCCGATAGAGCAATCAATGCACTGTCTCAATAATTAACTAATTATTTTATTTATTCTCTATAATATACTTTTTCTGCTCTCATTGCTGGGGTACTCGTCTGCACATCTTAGTACCCCTACCATCCGGTTCCCACCTTTCTACCCCCCAATCTTACTATGACCCTACCTCCGGTACTTCCGATCCCGATCCCGAGCGAGGGGACCTTGAATTTATGGTCAAAAGTTTGAAATCCTTTCTGTACGACCATTGGGAAAGTACCCCCACTAATTAGCCTGCATATTGAGCAAATATTCACCAGGGGTTCAAAAGATTTCATGGTGAAATTTCATGATGGACCTTGCAAGCATGAATTTCTTGTAGTTCAGCCCCGTTGCTCTTCCTCCTCCCCCTCCCCCTCCCCCTCCTCCTCCCCCTCCTCCTCCTCCTCCTCCTCCTCCTCCTCCTCCTCCTCCTCCTCCTCCTTACACCCGCCTCCTCTCACCAACCTTCATCGCCCCGCCCTTCCTGTATCTCCTCCCCATCCTGGCTCCTTCTATCCTTTGTCTCCAGGAATCCCATCCCTCTCCTTCTCTCCGTCAGTAAGCACTTTCTGCTCTATGCATCTGATTACCCGAAATAAATCCTTCCTGACCTTCTGCATTGCTTGCTCCCCCTCTTTTATTCGTTTTTTTTCTGGCCGTCTGCATGGCATCGCTGCCCTTGATCGTGTTAGGCGGCAAATGCTGAGGGTCCTGCACTGTTGTGCGAGCAATGTGTCAATCTGTCGAAATGTTCTGGATGTTTTAAATGATCACGGCTCAAAGTATCGAACTCTCACGAAATAAATGTGACAAGCTGAGTTATCGCTCGAAAACGCCCCTTTCTCTCAAGAAAATCGAAAGTGGTTATTTTGCTGTCCTTCCTGTCAGTCTGCATGTTTGCTGGAACAAGGAAAGATCCGAAATACCAAGGAAAGATTCGAAACATGGGGATCCTGATGGAGCAAACTCACAGTTTCATGGAACGCTCAGCCATAACTGCTTCCACTCAGTGATTCGCTCATTAATCAAGGCAGTTTGTACATCAAGGCCGTTTGCACAGACTGTGCAAACTGCAGACTGTGCAAACTGCCTTGATTACTGCAAACTGTGCAAACTGCCTTGATATTGCTGATCTACCTCCACTACAGTCTCTTGAAGGGAAAAAATTTTGCGTTCGGTCCGAGAAGATCACTAGTATCATGTGAATTTTTGATATTTCTCCTCATCCCTCCTCATCATCATCATCATCTCCATCATCTCCATCATCATCGTCGTTGTCATGATCATCATCATCTCCACCATCGTCGTCGTCGTCGTCATCATCATCATCATCATCATCATCCTATCCTATCCTATCCTATCCTATCCTATCCTATCCTATCCTATCCTATCCTATCCTCTCTTCTCCTCTCCTCTCCGTCCACCCACATTCAAGGTTGTATCCATGACCAACTTTGCACCCACTACCCCTATCCTGCTATGTCCCTCAACCCAATACCCTACCCTACCACCTGTTTCCTAATCTGCACCTCTTATTGACTACCTACCCATTCCTTACCCAATTACTGACCTACCATAGATTTCACAAGGATTTGACACTCAAGAGTACCCGTGAAATATTTTCATGACCCCACCCTCTGTGGTCTATATTGTAAAAAAGATCCCTCTACCCCTACCTCTTTCCGAAGATGTCTTTTGAACCCACTACCCCCCACCATACCCTCACCCACCCTTTTACTGAGAATCTTTTCTGCCCGTGTTACTACCACGAACATTCTAGCAGGGAGCCGAGCAAACGCGCTCCTCCCCTCCCCACTCGCTTCCTGCCCCCCTCTCCCTCCCTCCCTCATCCTCTCCCTTCTCCTCTCCTCGCGCTTCTTCATCCTTCTTCATCTTCTCTTCCAGCTCATGGTTGCTTGATCCGGTTTTCTCCAATCACAACCTTTTGCGCATCACCTTCGCTTCTTCACCATCCTCCTCTCCTCTGGCTGCCCGCCTCCTCGTCCCTACATATCACCTTCAGATTCTCAGCCCCTCTCTGATCAGCATTTCCTTGAATCGTCGGCTCGCAACCTCAATCAGAGAGACCACGAAATGGCTTGACCTCTCAGTTGCAGCAGCGTTCAACTCCATCAGCAAACTGTGAAGACAGAGGAGCCCCGCACGGTCGAGTACACCACCACCACCACCACCTCTCCTCCTCCTCCTCCTCCTCCTCCTCCTCCTCCTCCTCCTCCTCCTCCTC